TCAGAAACACCGACCTTGTAATTCACAAATACCCACATCCGTAATATATGCAAATCCTCCAAAATTTGCCAGCGCGAAGCTTGAGAATATCACAATCTGTCTAAAACTCCTTACACGCTTATGCGTGTGCCTGTAACGACTCTTATGACAAGGGCAAAACCGTTATTAGGTACCGGCTCATCCGCCATTACATTTACGGTTATGTTTGAAGCCCTTGAAAGCATAAGAGGGAGATGACAGGATAAAGAAAGGTTGTCTCTGATGATCACACTGGTATGGCCTCCGTAAGGATCATTCTTGTAAAAGGATAGCTAAAAAATTATTTTAGACTAATCTCCTCGCTATTCATCTCAGCAATTTTTTTTATGCTCAGATATACAGGGTTTGTCCGGAAAGTAATAGGACTCATTTTCTTCCGCAATGACTGTACTTCGGAGCGTGCGCCCACCGACTGGATTCGGTAGAGGGTAGCTAACGAATGAGCGGCTGGTCAGTTGTCTCCGAGCACTTGGAGAGTCAGGACAGGCATTTTCGCGCGACGTGTTTCTGTGAGTGGTGCAAGCCGAAAATGCAGCGTTCGTTAGAGCAGTTATGATCCAGCAGGCTTACCCAGGTGTCGCTTTAGCAAGAAGTGGTGTGTTTCGGTGGCACCAGGCCTTTTTGGATTGCCGGGAAGAGGTCGCTGATGAAGACCGTGCTGGAAGACCTTCGACTTTGACAGACACCGATAATGTGACTCGTGTGCGCAAAGTTTTGAACTCAGACAGTCGGCTAAGTATTCGTTCAATTGCCCAGATGTTACATTTATCAAAATCCGTGGTTCATGATATTGTGACACAGCATTTGAACATGCCCAAGGTGTGCGCGAAGATGGTCCCAAAAGTGCTCACTGACGACCAGAAATTGCTGGAAGTGTGCCAAGAAAATTTGAACATGTGTGAAAGTGACCCCCAATTTTTTAATAACGTAATCACAGGTGACGAGGCCTGGATCTTTGAGTATGATCCCGAGACAAAGAGGCAATCTTCCGAGTGGCACACGACGGCATCTCCTCGCCCAAAAAAGGGAAGAATGAGCAAATCCAAAGTGAAAACGATGCTCATTTTTTTTTGACATCAAAGGCATCGCACCATGAATTTGTTCCTCCTGGACAAACCGTCAACGCCAAGTTTTATGTGGAAGTGCCCAGGAGACTCAAACGAAGGATCAGTCGGGTCCGACAAGACATCGCAGCCGACTGGAAGTTGCACCACGACAACGCCCCGGCTCACACCGCCTTTCTTGTGAACAGCTACCTGACCAAGGCCGGCATCCCAACGCTTCCCCAGCCGCCCTACAACACAGATGTGGCTCCCACGGACTATTCTGGAGAATGCCTTCCGTGACGCCTATTTGGAAAGTTTTTAAAGAATTGTATCGATTGACTCAAATTTTTTTTTAAATCGACTCAGTCCTATTACTTTCCGGACAAACCCTGTATATAAAAGTTAACTTAAGTGAAGTTTATAAATGAGCAACAAAAAAATTACTTATATGAGGACCAAGTCGCAAGATAAAATTATATTTTTACTTTGCCCTTCTCCAGGGAATGAGACTATATAATTCCTAGGAAGTCCTTTGTTGAGAGCGGCTCTTATCTATATAAAAATGAAATCTCTACGGATAGAGACACAAAAAATGTTAAGCAAACTTTCTGAAGAAATTTCAAGTGAGTTTATGTGACTATGTTTGTTTCCCACAGTTCTAAACTTCTTTATTCGAATACGCTTTAGTTAAATTCAGTTTGGAAAATTTTCGCAGTGAGAGTGTCGGAGGAAGTTCATAAATTTTTCTTATACACGAGAAGGTTACCCAAGGTAAATCAGATTGCGGAACTTTAAGTAACCAGCTTTTTTATATTTTCATTTCCCCTTTTCCTTATGTATGTTTTATTGTTTCAGGTAAGTTGGAGTAGTTCTTATGCTTACGATGGTGATATCTGTGAGTATAGAATACTAGAGTCCCTATATTAAGTTAAAAAAGGACACGGATTTTCCCAGTATTATGTTTTATTGGAACAAAATTACATAATATTGCAAAAAAGTGTTTTGTAGCTGAACATTTTCCATCTAAAGTCACTTCGATACTTTGCAATTTTCCAGCAAGAAAATCACAGTCTTTTATACATTTGGGATTATATTCAGTATTCAGCGAGCTCTGAACGCCATCCATTCGGTTCTATTCAAATTCATGTTTACCATCCACGGTCGATTTTGTCACAATGAGGTTACATATCGACAGAAAAGGTCTCACTGTGTGACGCTGGAGCTTATTCTATTTTTTTCTAGTTTTTGCGTATTCATTTCATTTTGGAATCGGATTTCTACAGTCCGTAACCCCCGCCAGGTATGATTGAATAGTGAATTTGATATGAGTGTCTGTCTGGCAGCTTTGTTGTATTCTCTTTGTGCAATGATTGTAATTAGTACTTTCTTGTGCGTTGCTCATAATGCAATGGATATACAAAGGGTACTACAAAAGTTTTGCAATGTAGCTTTATTCATTGACTTCATTCAAAGTAGTTTCCATCACATTCCCTTAAACCAGCTCTGCTAGGTTTCACCCGGAAGTGCGGCACACTCCTTGTTCCAAGCACTCAGAAGGTCTTCATCGCTAGAAAACCGTTTTTCTTTTAGATTCATTTTCACATGCGGAAAGTGTACAAAGTAGCAGGAAGCAAGACAGTCTTTGCGCGGTGAGCTAGAGCGTTGTCATGATGGAGGTACCAAGTGTCCATTCTTGACTTTGGCCACAGATTTTTTCATAGACTCTATAACTTCCGGTCTTCATCATCAATGACCCAGAATTTGTTTTGAGCCTTGGTCGGCACATCGTAATAATAGATCCAAGTCCCATCGCCTGTCACGATGCTGTTCAGATACCGAGATTACCCCTTATCAAACATTTTCAGCATGTTTCGACACCAAGTCGTATGACGAGTCTTCTGCTCTTCCGTCAGACTATGCGGTACCCAGAGAGAACAAAGTTTCCTTAAGTGTAAATGGTCTTGCAGAATTAAATGAACTGCTGGTGGATGAAGGTGTAAAGTCTCATCTATCTGTTGGTATGTTACTCACCAGTCTTCGTCAAGCATTTCCGTCGCAGCAGTAATGTTTTCCTCTGTTACTGACGTTCGATGAGGACAATCATTCTTTAATGCAAGCGTCATTTCTTCTAAGCATCAAACACTCCTTATCTCACCACCTGTCCACGATGCTACAGTCCGCACTTTACACTGTCAATACGAATAAACAACTAAAACATCAGACGTGTTGCTGGCGGCTACTAAGCACTCATGAACATGTCTCAACATGCAGTAACATGTTGTAGCCTCCTACGTCCGTTTCTTAAGTCATATTGCAAAACGTTGATAGTAGTACCCTCTGTATTTTCTAAAACTTAGTATTTTTATATCGTTTGCAAAATACACAACTTCAAACTAGAGGAAGAACGATGCAAATCCACTGCATGAATTTTTTAAGTGAATATTGAGTTTGGTTCTTGGAATGGACTACATACAGTGAAATATGGATGAATATTTTTAAAGACGGCTGGGAAAGTTGGATTCCTCATTTAAGTTCATGTTGTTAGTTCTATATTTATATTATCTTGTAACCTGTATTTTATGAGTTTTACAGATTTGTATACTCGGAAATGTGCTATTTAAAAAGCTGTATTTTTTAAATGGACTGTATATTTTCAGTGAAAATGAATTCGTATCCAAACCATTGTATACAGTGCTTTTCTTTAATGTCCCCCTCCCCTTTGATTTTTTGAACGGATCAATTCAAAAAATTAAATCTTGAAGTAATGAAATTGATGCGTGGATTCCATTTTAATATGTCAAGATGGCCGCTGGGCGCCATCTTGGAAAAAAAAAATTATATGAAAGCGGGGATCTTGTGGCACATCATTTTGAAGCTCCTGATGAGTACTTTATAACCCTAGAATATAAAGTCAATACCTTTACCTACTACAAAATGGTGGTACATTTAATCATTACTTGAACACAAACCCACTAACATACATATTTCTACAAATAATTGTAATTCCCTGCCGTATCCACAGCAACACCGATAAAAACTTATTTTTTTTGACAGTGGCAAGAATATCAGTACGAAAATAAACATCATTGTCCAGTTGAAATATTCTTATTTAGATTCGGTTTTAGTGCTAGATTTGAACTACTTTTAGTCTCGTCCATTGGAAGAAAAAAATCGAAGCGATTTTTATTTATGGTGCGACGCGTAACTTTCACGAGACCGAAAGGATTTTTAATGATCGTTTCCCGAATCGTGCTATCTGTAGAAAATATTTAAGGGAACTTGTATCTAAATTTATAGCTACTGCTAGTGTAATCAACAAAAAGCCCCGAGGTCATCCGACATAATGTTCAAGTAATTGGTGAGATCATAGTAAATCCCCAATTGTCTACATCCTCCATCGCGAATGTATGTGAGGTTTGTCCTTCTACTGTATGGAGACTTTTGAAAAAGAATAAGTGTCACCCATACAAAATTCAAATGGTACATCAGCTAACTGAGGATGAGTATTCTGCGAGACTATTAATATAAATCACCGAAATCGTCGAAGCGAATCCTAATGAATTCGATACGGATATTGTATTCCAGCAAGATGGTGCTCCACCACACTACTGCTGACAAGTTAAGAATTATTTAGATAACAATTTCAAAGTAGGGGAGAGTCCTCCAATACCGTCACCTTAAGGTTTATCAACAAAAAAATCAAAATACTTATGGTTACATGTTTAAAACCTTCTGATATGTGTAAAGGAACTATTATGCTATTAATATAAATAATAAACAACTAGTAGGTTCAGAAGTAATCAACTTTATTATTGCAATTCGAACACTAGAAAAAATCAGACTCAAAAAAATTGGCCTCCAGTACCGGCCAGTGATTAAGTAACCATTTATACAATACAATAATCGCAAATATACTGATCAGATAGCTCTGATACGTTTGCACAAGCCTCGTGGACCCAAATCTTGCAGTTTCCACATTGTATCCAATCCTCTTCGTGAGATTCGGCACACAAAGGACAAACTGTTTCTTCAATCGATCTACGAGGAGGAGGTAGGTTTTCGTTTTTATTTGTTTTTGTTTTCTTACTGACATCTCTTCCTGACAGCAAGCTTTTTCCCTTTTTAATAACATCTTTTTCTGAAACATTAACTTTCTTTTTAAGTTGTTCGACATTCCTTTTATCTGCCCTTTTCTCTTCCAGCATCCTTTTGTATGGAGAACTTGTTATAATTTCACTTCTTTCAGCTTTACGACGTCTTACAGTAGTTCTTCTTTTGGAAGCATCAGGAACCGGTGACAGTTCTGTAAGTGCAGCTTTAAAATTTTCTCTGGATTTATCAGCAATAACTTCTGTTTGAGTTTCTACTTGTTGAATAGATAAAATTTCAGATTCGGCGTGAGTAGGAGTAGTTTGAGTCTCGGATTGTATAGAAGTTGTAATGTCAGCTAATAAATTAGAAGTTGGAGTTTGAGATCCAAGTTGTCGAGAGGAAATGGATGTAAGTTCTCGCTGTGTAGAAATAGAATTTGACAGATTTGAACAAGCAGATGTTGAAGGTGTCGGTTCGGTTAGTTGAGAATGTGAGAGCGATGATTCTGTTGCTGATTGACTTTCTGTAACATTCGTCATGTCGGAACCAATGAAATCTAAATCACTGAAGATATTTCTATCAAAGGGGTGTATGCCAGTGCAGTGGAAGCCATTAACCGCGATATCCATTCGCGAAACTCGATTAAAAGCAATAGCAACAAACCCTGCAATCTCGTATTCACTGATTCTAATAGCAGGGTTTGCCCTCATCCACAAGTCACATGCATCATTGTACGCAGATTTAAATGGCTTCATGAACGTACGATCCAGTGGCTGTAACTTGTGGGTCGTGTGAGGTGGGGTGCTTAACATATGAATATTATTTTTTCTGGTAAACTCAATGACATCTAAGTCTTTATGACTAGCATGCCCATCTAGAATCAAGAGTACGGGATTCTGGGCTGTTGGATTAGAATATTGCACAAAGTGTTGCATCCATTTCAGAAATAATTCGGCATTCATCCAGCCGTTTGGTTGAGCTTCACCTACACTCTCATTTGGAGCATTAATCATTAGTCTTTCATTCATTCTGTTTCGTGGAAATATGAAATAAGGTGGTACGAACTGACCTCCAGCGCTCATTGCAAAAAGCACTGTAACGTTCTTTCCACGTTCTGCTGACGTAAGCTTTCCGACTTGCCTTTGGTTTTTAGTAGCTAACACTTTAGCATGTTTTTGAACAATGCTAACTCCAGTCTCATCACAGTTCCATATTTTATAAGGTGTGAATTTAAATCTCTCCATCAAAGTCTCAAGACCATCAAAGAATCGCATAACCTGAGGCCTGTTAAATCCTACTGCTCTCATTAAACTCGTTGATTCAGCAGTTCGCAATGATAAGTCACTATGTCTTTTCATAAACGAATAATAGTAATTTTTCCCTGCAGATTGTTTCTCTTTATTGAACTGGTGAGGTAACTTTAATTTCTCGGCCAGTTGGAAAGCGAGACGTAAAAATTCTTGTCTGTTTAAAGGCATTAGCCTGTTGGCCAAGTCTTTAACATGCGATGCCAATATTTCTTCATGTTCTGGTGCAAAAGTATTGTGAAAACGACCCATAACTGGCTCAATAGACATCTCTTTATTACTTTTAATAGCTCTAACTCTATCATTCAAAGTAGATCGTGGTACCTGATAGCGTTCTGCGGCTTGACGAGCACTTATTTTATGATTCAGTACCTTTTCCACGGCCTTATGCATGTTGGCAGGATCCCAGGTGCCCTTCTTTTGCGTTGTCTGACCATCATTCCCGTGACTTGACATTTTTGTATATCTGAAAGTAAAACAAAACAATTAAAAACGATCTAATAGAATGGCCGGTACTGTAGGACAACATTATGTCCGGTACTGGAGGAAACGAAAAAAAAACTAAATTCGATTTCTAACGAACATGAATGTACAAAGGTTAATTATAAAGACACTTTTCTATAGATATATAAGTACACTCTACTTACCAGTAGTTATTTGTTTTAAACTGGATCTCTGAACTTCGAAAATTGTGAATAGAATTTTAATTACGTAGTTAGCGTCCATCACGCGCAACTAAAATCTTTGAACTGGAAGTAAACTTGTCGTTGCAAGTTAACGCCGCGCGGGGAATATCATCCCGTGAGTGTATTGCACAAATCACGATAAAAATTTCAGCGCCATCTGTTGTCAGGTTGTAGAATTTGCAACTGGCTGGTACTGGATGCCGGCCGGTACTGTAGGACTCTCCCCTACTCGTCCGGAGTTTCAAAACGATGTGCCACAAGACCCCCGTCTTCATATATTTTTTTCCAAGATGGCGCCCAGTGTCCATCTTGACATTTTCATCTGTCAATTTTACTCTAAAATATGGTCTAAAATTGATCCGCTCAAAAAATCGAAGTGGAGGGGGACATTAAAGAAAAGCACTGTATGTAACCGCTGGTACAAACTGGAATACTTGTCAAGCCACACGACTAAATGACACAAAAAATATAAGTTTTTGAAAGTATGTATATTTTTGGAATATTAAAAATATACTCTGATTTACGCTGCACATACATAGAGCGTTCCATTAAAAAAATACTCGGTCTACCATGTATACAAAAAAATGCAGGGTAAACCTTACAACGTTTGTATATAACTTCTAAAGGTCATAGAAGAAACTGGGAGGGGATCAATTTGTGGACGGATCGAAGATATTCCATGCAGATTTGAATTTTCTTTCACTTAGCAAGTTTTGCGAAGAGTATGACGTAGATGTGCAAATGTTGATAGTTAATCAAGTTCAGGCATTTTAACTTATACAAAAGTTAATGTACAATTGATCTTGGTTTTATGCAGAGGTCTACAAATCAAGGACCACATTAAATTTTCATGGAACGTTAGACTATGGACAAAAGATTTGTAAGACAAAGGAGCAGCGTTTCGGTCGATTGTCAATTTAAGTAAACACGCAAAGCAACAACTTAGGAAATGTGTAGCCGATAAATCTGCTCCCTTAGAAAGTGGCAGGTGAGTTATTCAGGACAGCTTTTTGTCTTGAGAAAATATTTTTCTGCCAAACATATTTCATGTCAGTAATAAAATATGTCAGTTCGTTAATTTGTTATTTGTACATCTTGATCAATATATGTGAGGATGTTGATAAGCGAAAGAGACTTGCCAGCAAATAAAAATAAATGATCCCATCGGAGACGTCACTATGCGTCGATGTGTTGGACCGCAATTGGGGAAAACGTAAGAAAATACTGCTCTCAAAGACGTGGTAGAAAAACATGTTTACACTATCGCTCTATTTTCTCCAGAAACCAAGAAGCATCAGAATCGGCACTATTTTGATACCGCTCTCACTCGGTTAAGCACATGAGGTGAGATCTATTTGAATTGTGATGAGGATGGGAAAAGCGCTATCAAAATATCATGAAACAACGATCACTGTGATGTTCTTATTTCACCTAATGATGATCCTAATACAAACAGAAGCTAAAAGCTATTTGAAACGGAACATACACAATATTATTCCACAAATCAACATCGTGACGTCAATTCTGGCTATGGCAAAGTATTTGAGGCTATGGTCAACTGTAATGGGAGTTGTCTAGCTTATAGTCAGGTGATCAATTGATTGCTAAATAAGTCTTGTAATATGGCAATGCACGAAGATCTTTTAGGCACTTCAGTCTGCTATATACTACATATATGTCCTGTAACATCTGTATTTATCAAACTGTTAGATAAAGCAGTGTTTCCTGTATATGTAGATCGTGCGACTGTCACACGAGAACATCGCTTAGAGAAAGAAGTTCACATAAACGATTCGCCATCAGAACTACTTAAAAAAGTTCCCATAACTTATTCCAGAGCTTGATGAAGATTCCGAACCTTTTGCAAATTATGATTAAGGCTCACGAAAGTGTTTTTTAGTACTTTTTTTTTTCTTCTTTTTTCTACTGGTTTCTACTGGTTACCAACAATCCACTTGAGTTCGCCTACATAGTGTGCAATCGCCAATGAGATCGTAATGATAGATCTAATCATCTTAAGACCACTGACCCGCCCATCTCTAGTAGTACTGGACCGTTACGTTGGCGGACAAACAATCGGGCCGTTTCTCATCCCGAGCAGCTCCCGGTGACAGCCGAACAGGAAAAAACAGAACGCCGATGATCGTAAATTCCGCAGCCAGTAATTTGCGCCTGGATCCGGAGGACAATACTGTAAATTCCGGAGCCCCGATTGAATCGTCTACAGAATATTTATCCCTCAGCGCTCCTCTCCGTGTCGCTATACAAGTGGAATTAAAGAAAAGTTATGGAGTCTGGACCGGATGGTAATATCTCTTCTTTCGTTCCCCTGCTTCTAAACAAGAAAGTAAATTAATTGCTAGATACAAAGCCGTCGCTTTCCCTGCTCAAACCAATTGAGGTATCAAATGTTCTCTAACATGTCGGTAATTGAGCTTTGGTTCCCAGATATCTAATTCCGTAGAAAGGTTTTCCGGACAACCATTGTAGTGCATTGCATTGTATTGCCATTATTTCCTTAACCTGCATTGCGGGATAAGGTATAAAAATTTGTTCCAAATACCAACTAGCATTGATTGTTAAAATATCTTCCTCAGACTTTTATACACTGATATCAAAAAGATGGAACGACCAATAATATCAAAACAAAGAATCTCGTAGCACTTCTCTCTCATCTTCGACCGCTAAACATCTGTTAAACTATCTCCCAGGCATTATTTTGTCCGCTTTTATTAAGGATAAAAGGCATAACAGTAAAGGGAAACAGACGACAAGGGCCTTGGAACGCTTATAACGAAAGAATGTCGTCCCCTCGCTAAGACTGCCCGGTGTAATGTAATAGAATATTATTGGCTTTTTTATTAAGAAAATCTTCCCTGTTTGTGCACATAACAGACAACAAACGCAGAAAGTTTTGATGGTATCACACTGGCGAACTGTTACTTGTTAGTGTGGAGATAAATGATGTTATGGGTAGTTGCGGTGACGGTCATTACATACAAAAATTAACCTCCGAGATATTAAAACCACATGATGCCTTGCATGAAAAGGATAATTCCGAGGAACACCATACAGCCCTGGCACGTGTGCAATATTACTATACCGTCTGTCATCTCAAGCACCACTAAGCGTGTTTCATTTACCACCGGAATTAAACTCTGTAGTTCGTACGTTTATTCTGATGCAGTACTCTTTTAAAGAAATGTTCTAAAATCGGTGTATTGCTTAGATTTATGTTTTATCTATCTACAGTGACTCAAACCTCTATCCTACTATTTTGTGATACCGACAGTTGCACCCAATTTGGATATACCGTTTTACGCCCACAAAGTAAAGCTGAAGATCTTCGAACTAATGTCCAAGCAAACGTTTGAAATTTGCATTGCACATTAAAAGCTGCTTTCCGATCCCATGCCAGTTATATCTGAATATCAAATTCTCGATTATCAAACTAAAAAATTCTTATGCGAATCATTGATTATTTATGTCCAAAATTACTGACTGTGTTATAGTTTAAAATCCATTTTTAGATACAACATCTCTTTCATGACCATATAAGGCGGCTATTTAAGAGACTTGGGATGGTTAAAGGTGAAAGAGCTATATGAGCTACATTTATTAACTTTCACTCATAAGCTCTTGCTTACTTCGATTCCCTCATTTTCAAAGAACAAGCTGATCCCTCTAAATTCTATTCACTCAAGAAACATACGGATTACTGAGACACTCACAATGCCTGTTCACAAAACCTCATTATTTCATAAATGCTCCACATACAATGCGATAACAGTTTATAATTAAATACCTCACGCATTAAAATCAATAAATTACAATTACTTTGAAAAACAAATTAAACAATTTATTTAAGAAAAGTACTCACCTACATAGTTTGATCACTCACTTCGGGAAATGTTTCCATTTCTGTCTACATTCACATGTATGATTAAATTTTTATTATTTACTATTAGTATATTTAGTTATAATACATTTACATACTTATAATCGTTATTATATATTTTTTTTTAATTTCCAAGAGTTAATTGGCAGAAAAGCTTCAAGCTAAACTTCGCCCTTTAATAAAATACGTTTTATTATTATTATAGTTGTTAATCGCTATCTCTAGTATCTAGTGACGTCCACTCCTATTACATGATGCCTTTATTGAAACTGAACTTGCTTATTTAGTAGTCACCGCTAGAATTTCACAAAGCGCGAGATCTCGTCTATCACTAAGGATGGTGGGATACCACCGTCGCCTATCAATCAGGTCCGTAATTAGTTCCAAACTTACGTAGCGCCCTAGAGACCCCTACCGATAGTCCCTCGTTATTAGTGATACGACGCCTACTGCGTGTGCACCTTCAAATTATCACAGACTGTGAGGAATCAGGAGACTCGTATACACTATTGTGCAAAAGTATCAGTCTTCATTTTAAGCTGTTCAAAAAATAAATTCACCGATTTATTTATTCATCCTCTATATTTGCTTTTGTGTCTTTTTTTGGTACTACGGACGTTCCATCATTATATAAAAAGCATTTTTTTTATTTCAGATTGATATTTTATCAATGAATCATGAAGTACATATGCATTCTCTTATAGAATTTTGTCAACACTAAAATTCTATCAAGGCTGCGTTGAATCTCCCCTTTCAAGGCGTGAACGACTTTGGGATTGTTGCCATAGGAAACAGTTCCACAAAGATAAATCCATTGACAAGAGTGCCTTGTACCAGCAAAACTGAGAAAGCCATCTACTTGATGTGCTATTCCATACTTTA